CAGGAGAGCCCGCAAAGTCGGAAGAAGATTACAAACCTGATCTTATAGGTGTACAATAACAAAAAAATTCTCGTCACTTTACTTATAGCCTTCCAAATTTTGTGTCGCTTTGTCGGTAAGAATTTGATCTTTGATTCTGAGAGTGGGTTTTTGTGTATATATTTATGATGGTTTTTAACTGTTCATTTCCTTAGGTAATCATTATTGTTGGTGATAACGGTACATTAAATGATTTTGTGATATATACAACCAACGTGGAACAATTATTAAACAAATAAATTGTAGATTTACTCAGATCTTGAGTTACAACATCGCGTAGGTACTCAGGTAAGAAAGCTACAAGGTATAAGCAGGAAATTTTGATATGTGCGACGAGTCTTTGTGTCTCGCAGTAAGGCTAGAAATATTTGAGCGCATCTCTTTCTGTGGCTTCTTCGGAGGTTCGACTAATGAACTACGTCTATGACTTATCACTTAATTATCATAGATTTTTACTTCGCTGGTTTGTTTTTTTTTGTTCTCGTTTTTACTCTAGTATGACTCTACACAGACGATCGGTGAATTAGGTAATTTTGACTCCATAATATATAAATTTGGAAATCGGTTGCGTACGTAACGCCTAAATGGACGCACTTATATAGTACTGAAGGCAATTTCTCTGTGGTTTATTGGGAGGTACGGACCCATTAGACTCCGTCTATAACTAACGGAAACCTGTGAGACAGATGGAAGAGCCATTGTGTTTGCAGTCGAGCCAAATGCGCTTGCTTCCGAAAAATTTGATCACGACGACTATTTTAAGTACTCCGGCCGCGGGACGCGAAAGGGGGGTATAGACTTTCCTATATTTACAGGTAAAGGTCTGAAGTCGACGCGCATTTATGTAACTTTTCACTACCTACAAAGTGTAGTTGAGAGGAGCACACACTAAGTAGAGAGACACCGACACGTACTTGTGGCGTACGTCGTCCGGACAGCAGGCTGACGAAAAAGATGCTCGTAAAAATAAAAGCTATGGCACACAGACCAAGTCACATTCGTGTTATGCTTGTCCTTCACCTTTAAGTTGTCGTCCACTTCCACGTGACGAAGACGTAAGACGGGCATGACTTCAGTTTCCTCGAATTTCAACGACCAAAAGAAGAGACGTCCTTTATTTTATTTCGTGGTTATATTTTATTGATTTGTGTAGTGGATCCAAGAAAAATTTCACACTCTGAGAATTTTGACTTAATATCATAATGTAAATTTAACAAGGCAGTTCAAGTTTCCACAATATTTGACTAAACTCCATGTAAAACACTTAAATTTATACGTCATACCTGGTAGGGTTTGGGTACTCTCAAAATGTGTGGGAAGATTTTGATAAATATAAAGGTCAATGGTACCTGCGTGTAAACAGAAAATTTCACCTGAAAAGATTTTTGCCGTTAGAAGAGACCCGCACCTCAGAAACCATACATCGAACGTGCGACGAGACGTCTGTCTATCACAATTTTATCTCAGGCTTTTCATAAAAATAATGGTAGGAAGGTAAAATAGGTTTAGATATCGAGGCACTTGTTCTTTATACCTATGACTGTGTTGTGTGTTTTTGTGAAAGTTATGTATAAGTCGTTTAGTAGGATTCTACCACCTACAAAAGGAGATTTGGCCCTTTGGTTGTGTGTTGGTTGTGTTGTGTGTGTGTGTGTGTGTGTGTGTGTGGTGTGTGGTGTGTGTGGTGTGGTGTGTGTGTGTGTGGGTGTGTGTTGTGTGTGTGTGTGTGTGTGTGTTGTGTGTGTGTGTCGTGTGTTGTGTGTGTGTGTAGTGTGTGTGTGTTGTGTGTGTGGTGTGTGTGTCTGTGTGGTTGTTACGTACCGACCACGAAAAGGCTAATTTTGCACAAGAGCAGCCTGGTGGCCAAGATCTGTCTAGCTTCGTCTCAATTGCGTACTTAGTGACGACTAACACTAGAGACGGAATATACGCCGGCCAGTACGACGTGTGCCTTGTTACTCACCGGGGAGTAATAACACCGGGGAGTAAACAAGGACACGTGTTCGAAACTGGCCGGGTAAGATCCGCTCTTATTCGTGTCGGTCATCTAGACCAATTTGAGACGGCGAGGCATAGTGTTTCGTCCACTGGAACGACGACGTTGCTCTTGGTGCAAAATTTAAGCTTCTTTTTCGTGTTCGTACGTCACACACACACAGACACACAACACAACACACATCACTACACACACACACACACACACACAACACACTACACACACACAACACACACTACACACACACACACACACACACACACACACACAACACACACCACACACACACACACACACACACACACAACA